AAAAAAATTATAAGGCATACAAAGAGACAGGGAAACATGGCCCAATCAAAGGCATAAAATAAACCCCCTAAAACTGACCCTAAAGATACACAGATCTATGAACTGCTTGAGAAAAAAGTCTAAATAGCTGTCATAAAAATGATCAACAACCTAAAAGAGAACACAGTGGAAAACTAAAACAATCAGGAAACAATGTAGGGACAAAATGAGAATATCAACAAAGAGATAGAACTATTAAAAAAAAAGAACAAAATAGACATCATGGAACTGAAAAATAATATAATTGAACTGAGACATTCATAAGAAGGGTTCAACAGCTGACTTGATCAGGCAGAAGAAAGACTTATCTAACTTGAAGAGAGGTAATTTATAATCATAAAGTCAGAGGAGCAAAAACAAAAAAGAACGACAAAAAGCAAAAAAAAAGCCTAAGGGATTTGTAGGACAATATCAAGTAGACCAATATATGTACATGTGTCCCAAAGGAAAAGAGGGGATAAGGGCCAGAGAGTTTACTTGATGAAATAATGGCTAAAAGCTTCCCAAATACCAGGGGGAAGATGGATATACAAATTCAAGAAGCTCATATAACTCCAACTAAAATAAATCAAAAGAGAGCACACCAAGACACATTACAATCAAACAGTCTAAAGTCAAAGAAAAAGAAAATCTTAAACGCAGCAAAAGAAAAGCAATTTGTCTCTTTCACACAAAATGGATTCCTTAAGATTATCAGAGGATTTCTCAGAAGAAAACTTTACAGGCCAGAAAGGAGTGGGATGATATATTTAAAGTGCTGAAAGAAAAAACTGTCAACCAAGGTTACTGTATCTGGAAAAACTATTCTTCAAAAAAGTAGGAGAAATTAAGACTTTCCCAGATAAACAAAAGCTAAGGGAATTCATTGCCACCAGACCTGATCTAGAAGAAATGATAAAGAAAGTCCTTCAAGTTGTAACAAAGGAGAGTAAATAGCAACACAAAGTCACATGATAATGTTTCCCCAATATACGTAAATATAAATATACAGACAAATAAAATAATCTGCACTATTGTAATTTTAGTGCATGGAATTTAAATGACAGAAACATAAAAAACTTTAAATCTATGTTCATTGGTATACAATACATAAAGATGGACTTGTGACATCAATAACATAGAGCACGGAGGGAAGAGGTGGAACTGGAAAGGAGTAGAATTTTTATATGCAACTGAAGCTATCAGTTTAAAAGAAAATGCTATAACTGTAAGAAGTTTTATGTAGTTGCAATGGTAACCACAAATAAACTATCTATAGACTATACACAAAAGGAAATGAGAAGGGACTCACTACAAAAAAAATCAATGAAGTACAAAGGAAGGCATAAGAGAGGAAAGCATGGACCAAAAAAAAGCCCTAAGACATACAGAAAACAATAAACAAAATGGCAATAGTAAGTCCTCCCTGTCAGTAATTACTTTAAATGTAAATCGATTAAACTCCACAATCAAGTCATAGATTGCTTGAATGACCTAAAAACAACAGCATTCAACCATGTACTGCTATTCACAAGAGACTCACCTTACGTAGGCTGAAAGTGAAAGAATGTAAAAAGATATTCCATGTAAATGGTAACCAAAAGAGTGCAGGAATGGCTATGCTTATATCAGATAAAATAGACCTTAAATCAAAAACTTATGAGAAGTATAGAAGGACATTATATAATGATAAAAGTGTCAATTCATCAAGAAGATATAACAATTATAAATATTTATACACCAGACCTCAGAGCCTCAGAGTTCCTAAATATACGAAGCAAACTTTGACAAAATTGAAGGAAGAAATGGCAACGAGATTACAGTAGGAGACTTCAATACCCCACTTGTGTGTGTGTGCGTGTGTGTGTGAGAGTGTGCGTGTGTGTGCATGTGAGTGTGTGTGCGTGTGAGTGTGTGAGTGTGCGTGTGTGTTTGTGTGTGTGCATGTGTGCGTGCGTGTGTTTGTGTGTGTGAGTGTGTGTGTGTGAGTATGTACACGTGTGTGCGTGTGAGTGTGTGCGCGTGTGTGAGTGTGTGTGCGTGTGTATTTGTGTGTTTATGTGCATGTGTGCGTGCGTGTGTTTGTGTATGTGTGAGTGTGCGTGAGTGTGCATGTGTGTGGGTGTGAGTGTGTACGTGTGTGTGAGTGTGCATGTGCTTGTGTGAGCACGTGCGTGTGTATGTGTGCATGTGTTTGTGTGTGTGCGTGCGTGTGTGTGTGCGTGCATGTGTATGTGCGTGTGTGTGCGTGCGTGTGTGTGTGCGTGCATGTGTATGTGCGTGTGTGTGCGTGCGTGCATATGGGTGTGTGCGTGTGTGTATGTTGCGTGAGTGCGTGTGTGAGTGTATGTGTGTGTGCGCATGTGAGTGAGTGTATGTGTGTGCACGCGTGTGTGCACGTGTGACTGTGTGCGTGTGAGTGTGTATGCGTGTGTGAGTGTGTGTGTGCACATGTGTGTGAGTGTGTGTGCGCATGTGTGTGAATGTGAGTGTGTGCTTGCATGTGTGTGCATGTGTGTGCTTGTGTGTGTGTTTGTGTGTGTGTGCGTGCATGCGTGAGTGTGTGTGCGTGTGTATACGTGTGCATGCGTGCATATGGATTTGTGTGCGTTTGGGTGTGAGTGTGTGCGTTTGGGTGTGAGTGTGCGTGTGTGTGTGCGTGCGTGTGTTTGTGTGTGTGTGTGTGTGTGCGCGTGTGTGGCTAGGCAGTACAGGGATCTGAACCCTTGTCCCTCAAGTTATAACACCATACCCTAACCAACCTAACTAACTGGCCAGCTCCCAATACCCCACTTTTTTTCTCCCTTTTTGTCTTTTTTACTGACCGGTAATG